ACTGGATCTGGAGGGGGAATAAATGGCATCTTTCAATTCCAAAAAGAAATGACTTGAAGCTAAATGAGCTCTTTGAATGTTGCACAGCCATAAAGTGGTGAAAATGGGTAAAACACTGCACCAGATAAACAAAGGAGTTGCCTTCGGTACTTGTAGATTCTAACTTCAAAGTCTGTGATGAGCTGAAGTCCAAGTATTTCAAAGGTTTATATTTTATCATCGATTCATTAATTCTTTGTGCATTCAACTACCTCTACAACTGAATGCTAGTACCTTTAACTTGATAAAGAAAAGCATGCTATACAAACAGATCTATCCTCTACTTTCAATCATCAACAACACTGAATCACATTATGGAACTTGTAACTTATTATCAAGGGTGCTAATTCTATCCGATGTCGTGTCATTTACCAGCAAATTCAGCATAGTCCATGGGAGAGCATGTGGTCTTCAGTTTGATATCACAGACTCGTATGCAGCCATCTGAGCTGACCACAATGGGTTTATCTGACGCAGCCCAGTCAGCATCAATCAGCTTGGTCTGTTCCTTGGTCACTTTCATGGAACTTGTTCCCCTAACCTAAAGACAGGTGTAAGCAAGGGAGGATGACGGTTGGTAAGATTGGTTTAAGACTTCAAACAGCAAACACCACGTGGTACTGTCACTTGCGGCCATTGTCAGAGGTCAGATTAAGAGGAAACAACAGTAGTGACAGCTGAGGACTTTACTTACTTTTACTTTTTAAACTACAGTCATCTCAAGTCATTGGAGAGAAAAGTTTTTTCATGACTGATTGGGCTATATTAGAAAGCAAAACTATGCCAAAAGACAAGGACCTCAGCTACCTAGATTAATTCCAAATACAAGACTGTAGAGAATGACATCTGTGGCAACTATGCTGCATCTTCAAGCACTTAAAAATAAAAGCAAAAATTTGACATACCTCCTTGATATCCCATATGTCTAGACCTTCACTCCACAAACACAAGATCTTCAGGTTGCCTTTGCCTGGTGCAAACTTAACTTTTTTAATTGATGATCGATGAGTTGGATAGTTTCTAGATAAAAATACAAAACCACAAAGCTTAATTTTCAAAAACGTTCTTACGTTAAGAGTTAGTATTTTCTCAAGCATCCCATACCCTAAGCATCC